GAAGGAACATATTTAGGTAATCATACATTAGCAGTACAAAAAGGGTTAAATATGGGTGTTGCTTTATTTATAGTATCTGAAGCGCTCTTTTTTTTAGCAATATTTTGAGCATTTTTCCACAGTGCATTATCTCCTACTATAGAACTAGGAGCAAAATGGCCACCTATGGGTATAGATTCAATAAATCCCTTTGAATTACCTTTATTAAACACTGTAATTTTATTATCATCTGGTGTAACAATAACATATTCGCACCATTCTTTGATACAAGGTAATAGAAGTGGTGCTTTATACGGTGCTATATATACTATAATTTTAGCAGTTATATTTACTGCTTTACAAGGTATAGAGTATACAGTTTCATCATTTACTATTTCTGATGGTACATATTCATCCTGTTTCTATTTTGGAACAGGATTTCATGGATTACATGTTATAATTGGTACTGCTTTTTTAGCAGTAGGTTTTTGACGAATGTTAGCCTATCATTTAACTGAAAATCATCATCTAGGTTTTGAATCTGCTATTTTATACTGACATTTTGTAGATGTTGTATGATTATTTTTATATATTTCTGTATATTACTGAGGGTCTTAAATGTTTCTTTTTTCAATCTGTTAAATATTTAGTACAGTATAATGAACTTAGGTATTATAAGCTTCATATTTATGCCTAATGAGATTTTAAATTTATGTAATTTACTATCCGTATTAACCTTTTCAACAAGTTAATATAAAAAAATATTATAATTATAATTTTTGAATTCTCAAAAACATATTAGAAGATGTATCATTTTCTACTTACAATTTCTTATTAGAAAACAAATCTGATTGCTTTTGTTTTTTTTTTAGATAAAAAAATATGTTGTAAATGGTTTTGCCTTGTAATTATAAATTATTAGAAAAAAGTTCAAATATTCCATATTCTTTAATTTTGCTAACATAGTATAATAAATTTATATATTTATTTTTGGATTTTTAATGTAATGCCACAACTTGTTCCTTTTTTTTTTGTAAACCAAGTTACTTATAATTTTTTATTACTAATAATAATAATATATTTATTTACTAAATATATTTTACCTAGATTCGTCCGATTATTTAAAACTAGAATATTTTTAAAAACACTAGAATCAAATAAAAATACAACAGCATAATAGATATGAGCTCAAAACACATTATACAAACAAGAAAAATTATATATATATAATTCATGACTTACTTAAATAAAAGTCCTTTAGATCAATTCACCATTAGAAATTTACTTAGCATTAAAGCAGACCTTTTAGGAAATATACAATTATCTTTAACAAATATAGGTTTATATTTAATAATAACAACAATTATAATATTTATGATGTATATATTAGCAACAAATTATAATATAGTTACACCAAATAATTGATCAATATCAATGGAGTCTATTTATGCAACAGTATTTAGTATAGTAATAAATCAAATAAATGCAAAAAAAGGTCAAATGTTTTTTCCTTTAATTTCAGCCTTGTTTATATATATATTAATAAATAATTTAGTAGGTATGGTACCTTATAGTTTTGCGCCAACATCTCACTTTATATTAACGTTTTCAATAAGTTTTACAATAGTGATAGGAGCAACTATATTAGGTTTCCAAATACATTCTTTAAAATTTTTTTCATTATTCGTGCCATCCGGTTGTCCATTAGGTTTACTACCTTTATTAGTATTAATAGAATTTATTTCATATCTATCTAGACCTGTTTCACTAGGTCTAAGATTGGGTGCTAACATATTAAGTGGTCATATGCTTCTGAATATATTAGCAGGATTTACATATAATATTATGAAAACAGGAATTATATACTTTTTTTTAGGATTAATACCATTGTTATTTATCTTAGCCTTTTCAGGTTTAGAAATAGGAATAGCTTTCATTCAGGCACAAGTGTTTGTGGTGTTATCTTCATCTTATATTAAAGATAGTTTAGAATTACATTAGAAAATTTAGTAATAAAAATAATATACATTACTATTTAAAACATATAATAGGGAAGTTAGAGCTAAGTAAATATAGATTAAAATAAAATTAATAATAGTATAAGTTTTGATTACAAGTAGAAAATAAATAATACATGAAAACACACATATATATTTAGCTGTATTTAGGATATGTATAAATCAACAAGAGCTAGCTTAAATAAAAAATAATTTTATATTTTAGTAAAATATAAAAAAAATAACAAGAGTATATAGTAGATATAAACTTAATTCAAATTTGAGCATTCCAATAAGATACAATAAATCTAGTTTTATAAAAATTTTTAAACATTCTAATAAAAAGATACAATAAGTCTAGTAATATATAAATTTGAGTTTGATGATGGCTCTGAATGAACGCTATTCAAATGCTTGACACATGCTAATCTAACGTCTAATTTAATTAATATTAAGTTATTAATTAATTATGAAGTGGTGTACAGGTGAGTACATTATCTTATAACTACCTTAAAGTAAGGAGGAAAGAAGATCCCTTATAAAAAAAAAAGATAAATAAAATATCGCTTTAAGATGTTAATAGATATTCTGGATGAGTAATAGAAAAAAGAATCTAGCTCTAAATCTGGCAGTCGAGACTGAGAGGTCGATCGACCACACTGGGTCTGGAAAAAGCCCAGGGCAGAATTGTACAGCAGTGGGGGATATTGGTCAATAGTCGAAAGACTGAACCAGCAACTTGAAAGAATGGAAAATGGAAGTCATATAAAGTTCTAGATAAAATAAAGAGAATGACGATTTTTTATCTATAAGTCTTGACCAAATTACGTGCCAGCAGTCGCGGTAATACGTAGAAGACAAGTGTTATTCATCTTTATTTGGTATAAAGGGTACCTAGACAGATTACCAAGCCTTAATAGGGACTAGTTTTCTAGAGTTTTATGTGGGAATGTACGAATTACCAGAGGAGGGACAAAATCCTATTATACTGGTAGGACGGATAACGGCGAAGGCTTTATTCTAAGTAAAAACTGACGTTGAGGGACGAAGCCTAGGGTAGCGATAAGGATTCGATACCCTAGTAGTCCTAGGAGAAAATTATGAGTGCCATAGGCTAGTTAAATTTGGCCTATAAATGAAAGTGTAAGCACTCCACCTCATGACTAAGGCGGAAATGCACAAATTGAAATCATTAGACCGTTTCTGAAACCAGTAGTGAAGTATGTTATTTAATTCGATGATCCGCGAATAACCTTACCACGTCTTGAATAGTTTGTCACAATACAAGTGCTGCACGGCTGTCTTCAGTTAATGTCGTGAGACTTTGGTTAATTCCTTTAATTAACGAAAACCCTAGCTTTATTTATTTTTAAAGTGTTTTTCTACAAATGGAAATAATAACAGGGACCAAGACAAGTCATCATGGCCTTAATAGCGTGGGCTATAGACGTGCCACATATACCAATACAAAGGGAAGCAATATTGTAAAATGGAGCTAATCCCACAAAATTGGATATAACTATTTGTGGATTGTAGTCTGAAATTCGACTACATGAATATGGAATTACTAGTAATCGTGAATCACCACGTCACGGTGAATTTTACCTCAGATGGGTACTAACCACTCGTCAGGCGCTGAAAGGAGTATGCGCAATAAGTTTGATTGCTTATTTATTTTATTTTTACTTAAATAATTGTAAATTTTAAATATTGTAATTTTCGTATGTGTGACTTTTATTGGTGTTAAGTCGAAATATGGTTCGTGTAATGGAAATTGCACGGGACGCATTAACATTAAAAATTAAATATAATATTATATTTGGTAGACTTTTGTCTACATTATTATCTAAGTTGTTTACTTATAGATAATGTATAAATTTTTTGCTAGCAAAAATATATAAATATATATTTATATATTTTTTTTTTGCTCTACTATAACTTTAATCTAGGTTCGAAGGTTTAATGTCAATTGTTCTTTTTTTTAAGTTGTTGCCTTTGTTTTTTTTAGATTGTTATCTTTAACTTATTCACTATATATAATTTCTTTATTAAAAAATTATACCATTATTCTTTTTAAGATTTATTTTTATTTGTTTATGAGTATATTTTTTATATCTAATGAACTTTATGGGTTTTTTGCCACATTTTTGGATGTGATCATAGTTTTATCCATATTTTTTGGTATTCTTATAATAATAAGTAAAAACCCTATAGTATCTGTTTTACATTTAATCATGTTATTTTCATGTATTTCTTGTTATCTTATATTTTTAGGTATAAATTTTATTGGCTTATCTTACCTTTTAGTTTATGTTGGTGCTGTTTCAATATTATTTTTATTTATTTTAATGCTTATCAACATTAGAGTATCAGAGCTTATTAGTAATACTAATAATAATATACCTTTGGCTATATTAGTTATTTTAGCTTTATTTATTCCTTATAATAATTTGTCTCCTTATACAAAAACTAATTTAAACTATGATATTGCAAATATATTTTTTGTATCATCTAATAGTTGAGATGATAATATAGTCAATATTTTAGATATAACTAGTATAGGTAATGTTATGTATACCAACTATTCTATTTGATTAATAATTACATCTATTATCTTGTTATTAGCTATGGTAGGGTCTATAGTTATTACTATTAAACAGAAATATTAGTAGTGTTTATATTATTATCTAAGTTATTTACTTATAGATAATGTATAAATTTTTTGCTAGCAAAAACGGTAACAATATTATAACCAATACTTAACATTTTGGTATTTAAAGGGTTTGTATTAAGCATTTTTTTTATTAAATATATATATTGTATTATGTATATTAACCATAAATAGCTGAAAGCAATACAGAGGCTTTAGTTTAATTGGTAAAACATGCGACTTTTAATCGCTATAATAAAGGATCGAATCCTTTAGGCCTTAAACCAAGGAGAGTTCCTTTATTGGTAAGAAGGGTTGAGCTGTAAACTCAATAGTACTATGCTTTTAAGAGTTCGAGTCTCTTCTCTCCTATACTCTTATTAGCTCAATGGTAGAGCGTGATACTTCTAATATCTAGATTTAAGTTCGAGTCTTAAATAAGAATACATAAGCCAGGATAGTTTAATTGGTTAGAACATTAATTTCATGCATTAACAATGAGAATTCAACTTTCTCTCCTGGTATACGGAGTAGAGCCAGGTTGGTTAGGCGCCTCATTTGGGTTGAGGATTTTCTATGTTCGAACCATAGTGCTCCGAAAATTTAACATAAAACGGCTATAGGTTAATGGTAGACCTTTCGTCTTCCAAACGAATTGTGCCATTTCGAATTTGGCTAGCCGTAAAGAATTAGTATTAGTTAATTGGTAAACAGTTTCCTTGTCGAGGAAAAAGATGCCGGATCAAGACCGGCCTAATTCGCATTCAATAGGAAAAGTCGCCATTGGTAGGGTAAGGTATTTGCTAAATATTGTGTTTTACATCTAGGTGTTCAAATCGCCTCTTTTCCGATTTATTTTTAAGAGTATAGTTTAATTGGCAAAATAAGAAGCTTCAAACTTCCTGTTTTCAGTTCAAGTCTGAATGCTCTTGTCTTTATGTTTAGGTTCCTTAGCTTAATTGGTAAAGCGTATTCTTGATAAGAATGTGTTTGATGTTCGAGTCATCGAGGAATCATTAAGTCGAAACAAAAAACATATAAAATTTTATATGTTTTTTGTTTTATTTTTACGGTTTTTTTTTACATATTTTGTATTTATAAAAAACGTGATATGTAGGTTTTTATCTTAATATTTGGTGTTTAATGCCGTATCTTTTGCCAGGCTATAATTTTGTAATATAATAAAGATTTTTGATATTGAAAAAAATATAAACATATATATATATATACTTATTTCATAAACAAATAAAAATAAAAACTTTTCCTTATATATTAATGTAAGTATATATTTAAAAAAAATTTTTATTTTTAAGTAATTAAATAACACTGAAAATTTACACTTTTCTTTAAATATATATGATAGGATAAAAGTATATTAAGAAAGTAATATATTTTATAAAAAATTTATTGAGTAGCAATTTGAATAAATTTAAAAGCTATTCTACAAATACTTCTGAAATCCCAAATCCACATTCAAAACTGTTAGGCTTAAAAACAGAAATAACTATGTGAAGAGAAAGGTGATTTTTATCTTGTAATGCTAAAGATATAGGAACATTATATTTAATGTTTGCAGTATTTTCAGGTTTAGCCGGTACAGCTTTTTCAGTCTTAATAAGATTAGAATTATCAGGACCAGGTGTACAATTTATAGCTGATAACCAACTTTATAATAGTATAATTACTGCTCATGCTATAGTGATGATTTTTTTCATGGTAATGCCAGCCTTGATAGGAGGTTTTGGTAATTTTTTATTACCTTTAATGATAGGTGGTCCAGATATGGCATTCCCTAGATTAAATAATATAAGTTTTTGACTATTAATACCAAGTTTAGCATTATTTTTATTTGCAGGAATGATAGAAAATGGAGCAGGTACAGGTTGAACCCTTTATCCTCCTTTATCAGGTTTACAAAGTCATAGTGGACCTAGTGTTGATTTAGCTATATTTGCTCTTCATCTTTCAGGTGTAAGTAGTTTACTAGGAGCAATGAACTTTATTACAACTATATTAAATATGAGAAGTCCTGGTATAAGACTTCACAAATTAGCATTGTTTGGCTGAGCAGTTATAGTAACAGCTGTGTTATTATTATTATCATTACCAGTGTTAGCTGGTGGAATAACTATGATATTAACTGATAGAAACTTTAACACATCTTTCTTTGAAGTAGCAGGTGGTGGAGATCCTATATTATATCAACATCTTTTCTGATTCTTTGGTCACCCAGAAGTTTACATTTTAATTATACCTGGATTCGGAATAGTAAGTACTACAATTTCAGCTGGTTCAAATAAAAGCGTATTCGGTTATTTAGGGATGGTGTATGCCATGATGTCAATAGGTGTTTTAGGTTTTGTAGTTTGAAGTCATCATATGTATACAGTTGGTTTAGATGTGGATACAAGAGCTTATTTCACAGCAGCTACATTAATAATAGCTGTACCAACAGGAATTAAAATATTCAGTTGATTAGCTACTACATACGGGGGAACAATACAATTAACACCTTCAATGTTATTTGCATTAGGTTTTGTAGTAATGTTTACTATAGGAGGATTAAGTGGTGTTGTTTTAGCTAATGCATCTCTTGATATTGCATTCCACGATACTTACTATGTTGTTGCTCATTTCCATTATGTCTTATCATTAGGTGCAGTTTTTGCATTATTTAGTGCATGATATTATTGAATACCAAAAATAACAGGTTTAAATTATAACTTATTATTAGGAAAAGTACATTTTATGATTCTATTTATAGGTGTTAATGTAACATTTTTCCCTCAACATTTTTTAGGTTTACAAGGTATGCCAAGAAGAATATCTGATTATCCTGATGCTTTTGCAGGATGAAATTTGGTAAGTAGCTTTGGTTCTATTATAAGTGTAATTGCTACTGTATTATTTTTACATATAATTTATATGCAATTAGTTGAGGGTAATGTTGCATCTAGATATCCTTGATTAGTGCCAGAATTTTATTCAGATTTGTTTCAAACATTATTTAACAGAAATTATATATCACTAGAATGATCATTAGATAGTCCACCAAAACCCCATGCATTTGTGTCTTTACCTGTGCAAAGTGGTTTTTTGCTTTAAATAGCGGTTTATTTTCAACATTAATAAAAAAAATCCCTTTTTTATTAATAATCTTTTTAATTAAGTTATTTTTAAAAGATGGTTTTTTTTTAGGTTCTTCTAATTTAAGTATTGCTGTAATTACTTTGTTGTTTATTAGTACAATCAATTTATCTTTAAATTATAATAATAATAATTTTAATATGAACTCATATACATTTAAATTATTTTATGTACCCTTATTTTTTATCCCTTTATTTCATATTTTTTCACTATCATCATGGGTAGTTTTCCTTGTTAATTTATTTTTATGCTTAGAATTTTGTCTTTTAGGTTTTTTCATATTAAAAATGGAAGGTTTAAACTCAGGTAATCCAGGGGAAGGAGGAGGTTTTCAAGGACCAGGAGGTCCTGGTCCTGGTCAAAATCCAAATAATGATCCAATTTTAATGGGTTCAAAGGTTCATTCGAATAAAAAGTTTACAGCCATAAACGAGGAATTTTCAGAATTAGAAAATACATATTCTAATATGAGTCCGGAAGATAAGGTTTACTTATATGCGAGAGCCTTTAGAAAGTGAGATTCTGATCCTAAAAGTTTAACTCCTCGTGATGCAGCCATTATAAAAATGGCATTTTCCCAAAATCCTGATTTAATACAACCACGTAACAAGCCCTCGTTGAAGGGTTTAGGAAACAATGAACCGGTTCATTTTAGAAACGGTATTATGCATGCTTTATGTCACCATGATAATATAGGGTTAAAGAAAGATGGGTACATTATTTATCTGCATATGAAACAGCCAAATCTTATAATGATACCTAATTATAACGTAGCTAATGATGAATTAGCTTATTATAATCCTAAGTGTTTAAATTATTGAAAGGTTGATAATGTTGAAAATTAATCGCTTTTAAAAATAAAAAATAAATTAATTAATTATATTAAATTAAAAAAAAAAAAAAAAAGGAATATGTTGCAAATGGTTTTGCCTTATGATTGCAGATCAATAAGAAGGAGTTCAAATCTTCCATATTCCTATGTACACTAATTTTAAGAATTAGTTAACTTAAATAAAAAGATACAATAAGTCTAGTATAATAAATATTTTTTATTGATAAATTTTATCAATAAGTATAAAAAGAAATTATTATGAGTAAAAACAAGCTATAAACCAAAATGTTTACTAAGAAAAATCTTATAAATAAACAAGGTGAAAGGAAAAATCTGAATAACCTTAGGAAAATAAATCAAACGAGATTCTACATACAATGAGAAGTAAGGTAGAATAGCCAATTAACACAAATAAACCTAATATTAAACCTAATATTAAAACCTAATATTAAACAACATCGTATGGTTGGTTGGTTTAATATGAAGTATTATTAACAAGTAAAATGGATTATCTGTTTGAATAAAGGGGAACCTTCCTCTAAGGCTAAATATGGTATTATACGCAATAGTGAACAGTACCGTGAGGGAAATTTATTTAATAGTAGTTTTATAAGCAGCTCGAGAAAAATTTTAATTAATAACAAGAGCGTACCTTTTGCATAATGGGTCAGCAAGTTAATTTTAGACGCAAGCAAAAAAAAAAAAATTTTTTATATTTTCAACTGTAGAAGCGTTATGAAGGAGCAACTAGCTCCACAAATATATGGGAGATTATATAATAATAAGGATGGTTTTTTTTGCACAGAGAAATCGATTATAAAAAAAATGATAAAGTATCTAAAATTAGACCCGAAGACTAGTGATCTTACCGTTATCAGGATTATAAAAGTCCGAACGGGTTATCGTTGTAAAGATATCCGAAGAATAATGGTAAGTTAGTGAAAGACAAAACTGACTAGTTGAGCTGGTTTTCCGCGAAACCTATATAAGTAGGTAATTTAAACAACATCTTGGCAGGTACAGAACTGTGATCTCGGTCAAAATATTTATAATATAAAAACATTATTAATTTGTATATATCGGGGGATCGTAAAGATTTTATCGGAGAGTATTTGCACTCGGAAGGGCTAAGATGAATGTTAAAAAATCGGACATAGTACGATAAGGTTGTATGTCAAAAGGGAAACAGCCCAGAACAAGAGTTAATAAGGTTCCAAAATTATTGTTGAGTGAAATTAAGGATGTGTCTTCTGATACGATCAATTAATAGGCTTGGAAGCGGCCACATTTTAATGATCTCGTAACAGAGCATTGATTTTACTCTTTTTTCATTGAAAAAAGAATAGAAGATCACACCGAAAATATAACGGATCTAAATAATATACCGAAACCTTGTCCATATATTTTTTTTTAATTATATATGGGGTAGCGGAACAATGGATAAATCATAATTACTTTTTTTATAATCTTAATTTTCTATTTTCCATGAGATAATGCTGACATGAGTAACGATAAAGATATATTTCGCCTTAAGCTTATGGCATTTAGTTAAACCGGCTTCTAAGCAAGAGAAAAAGAAAAAAATAAAAAAAAAACTTTGATTAATACGATGAAGTCACAGATATAAACTAATTAAAGTTTTTTTTTATTTTTTTTTTCGTTGCGATGAAATTTGGATTTTATAACTAATTAAAGTTAAATTAGTTCAGGAAAAATAACGTTCATATAAATATAAATATAAATATATTTATATATGAAAAAAATATAGGCAGACCTGTGACA